TGGCTTATTGGTTTCAGCCAATGCTTTGTCATGAATGCCACCATTCTGGATATTTTGTTGTACTGATTATTTTTCTGTATTTTTTGCTTGGTAGATGCAATTACGAGGCCATTTACATTTTCACCCACAATGGAGGTATGCATCTGTCTTTGCTTTTCTCCACTAACTCCTTTCTTTTGAAGTTTGTAAGCTAAATCCAGCTTTCTTATGACAATAAATTTCTTGACAGGGAGCATCAATTGCTAGGGATGGTAGAGGCTCAACTTCATCCCGATCTGACAGTAGTGACTGTGATTCAATCACCAAGTCCCATTCATCTTATCGTAGCTTCCCGAGTCGCCGTTTCTTTATGTCAAAACCCATACATCCTCTCTCATTTCCAACTGAAACATCTAGAAGAGAAGCTATTGACAGCCTCTCAGCAGGTTTTCTAGAATTTGATGCCTCAACATCACAAAGAGATAAACACCGCTTGAGCAGTGCTAGTGGCAGTCTTGACTTGACAGAGGCTTCTGAATCTTTTCAATCTGACTTCCTAAGTAAACCTTGTAACCCTTCAGATGGTTTCAGATGTGGGTTATGCGAGAGGTTTCTTTCACAAAGATCGCCTTGGAGTTCCCGACGAATTGTGAGAAGTGAAGATATGCCAGTTGCTGGGGTCCTTTCATGCCGCCATGTATTTCATGCTGAATGTTTGGAGCAAGCTACACCAAAATCATGTAAAAGTGATCCTCCATGCCCAATCTGTGCCAAGCTTGAAGAAGGCAGTTCTCCAGAGCAACGAGTTTTCTCCAAGTTCTTTCCTAGGCTTAAAACATTCAGTGAAGAAGGACCATCCAAGCCTTGGGGCTGTGCTCATTCTGGAGATTGTGTCGAAGGGGCTTTGCACGGACCATCTCGTGGCACTATGCTCTCACTAAACAAGAACCGAATTAGGAAAAATCTTTCTTTGAAAGGTAATTCAGTCAAGGAATTTCCGGGTAAATTAAGAAAAACTAATACATTTTCGTCACAGCTTTTTATTGGATCAGTTGATCATGCAATGGTGGGATCTTCAAAAGCATCAGCAGGTTCCGGGCTGAAGTAACAACTGAATTTTGTATATAATTGCAGGCTGATGTCCGTGGCCTTTCGTGGTTGGTGTCCTAATCGTCTTAACTTTTCCTGTTTATTGAATTAGAATCTTTAGTGGCTTAATCATGTTGTAAAATGTAATGTGGTGGAAATTGTGTATGCACTTAAAAAGGATTCAAACAAATTGCATCTTTTGTGTAAGTTTTTAACTGATATTTGATCATTGAACCAATATATGTGGGAAATTGTTATTTACAAGTTGTAGGCATTGAACAAAGTGTCTTTTGATGGTTTACTTGAAAAGTAGTAAAGTCTAAAGCTTTATATGTTTGTATTTTTGCATGTTTCAATGCATTTTGAAGGAGGAATTTTTCAGGCCTGGGATGTATTTTGATTATTTATATCCTTGACCGTATTTTATGTTTTTGTGTATGCACTCTTGTATTTTTTGTTGTTTGTGTTTTTGTATACAATTACTATTTCAGGATTTTTAGTATTCCAAGTGAACTTAGGGGTGTGTTTGGTATGAAGGAAAACATCTTTTGGTAAATATTGTTCAATTTTCTTATGTTTGGTTAGCTCAAGTGTTTTTCCAACTAAACTTATGAAGTTGTTCCTCTCTTAATTAGAGGTTTTGGGTTGCTTGGGTATGAAAATTGGTGTGGAGCGCTTTTCTTAGAATGAGGCTCTATGTAATGCAAATTCGGATTAGTTGGATCCTAATGCGGGTACCGAATGTCGAACGGGAAACCAAATAAATGACTTACCCCTTGTAAGGTAAAGGATACATTTTTAAGATCTCTCTTTCAATGGTTCCATCTAGGGGTGGGCATGGTATGGTATATACCGAATACCACACCGAAATTGAATTTTTTTATACTGCGGTATGGATATTATGGTATTTGGTATGGTATTTGGAATGACTTGTAATTTTTTTTGGTATTTGGTATTTATAAATAAATATTGAAATATCGTATACCATACCAAAATTTTATAGTAATATATAAAATTAATCATTCATTAACATGTGGACTCTAACTCGACATGGTGGTATATGTCAAGTTAGAGTCTACATGTTAGTGAATGATTTTTGTGGTGTAAAATTATATAGGGCTATGCATAATTTTAGATAATGTTATTTAAACTTAGCATCTATGACTACTCGATTGTTATTGAAATGTTTTTTTTTGTGAAATTATTTAACAAAAGTAGTTGTTGATCTACTATGATTAAGACTTGTGCTTTTGAATTTCTCATATTCATGTTGATCATCGTATTGATTTTGCAAGAATACTTGCTAAAGGACAAAGAGAATGGTTTTTAACTTATTTGCTAAATAAATCGTATGGAGAGTTATGAATATATGGAAGTCGAAGTCAATTATGGTTATTGAAGACCATACCGTAAAATACCGAAATCGAAATTAAATATACCGAACCATACCGAGCTAATTTGGTATGGTAATGATATAGTACTCTAGATACTAAATATCGAAGTTACGTTATCAAAATTTTTATATACTGTACCATGCCCACCCCTAGCTCATCTGACCTTGACTTGGTAACCGACTTTCAATCTCGACTTCGACTTTCGTTCCTTTCTTCGATGTAAGTCTCGACTCCTAACATTGACCCTGATTCGGCTGCTGACTCCTGACCAGGACTTGGGTTGGGATCGAGTCCTTTGTCAGCGTCGAGTTAGAAACGGGAGTAGGGCAGTGGGAACCCAAGTTGGGGTTGGGATCATGAGTCGAGTTGGGTGTGTCCAAGTCTAGGATTGGGATTGTGGTCCATTGTCAAAGTGTTTCCCAAATTACATCTTAATGTTCCTGGGACAATGTATTCTTCTTAATAACCAAACAATATAAAATAAGTAAGAAAACTATTTATTTTTCAAAAATATGTTCCTAATATGTTCTAGAAAAATATTTTTCGTGAAAAATATATATGTGAAAAACACTTTTCTTCATGCCAAAAATATTCTATGTGAGCTCATACAGCCTATCGTGTTTATATTATGATTTTTATATTATATAATTTTTAATCAAATTTTGAATTTTTAATCTAATCAAAATGTTACTTTTTTCTGTTTGATTTGAAAAAAATGAAAAATAAATAGATACTACATATTTAAAGTTTCATATTCAGTAGTACATAACTACTTATTATCGAAAAAAAAAAAGAGTAATACATAACTACTATATTAGTAAAAACAACTTCTAGCCTAAACAATTGCATACTTTATCTTTTAAAAAATTTATATCTAAAATAATAATAAATAAATAAATAAAACAAAGAGAAAAACCTACATGGCCCTTACCCCATTAACCCACTTATTTTTTTCAAGCTTCTAGAAAATCATTGTAGCGAAAAATAAAAGTAAAAAATTAGTAGTACAAATTAGAGCAACTTTCACATATAGCAAATATAAAAATTATATTTGTATGTTATAGCTATAGTTTGCATAATTGCACTTCATAACAAACATAAATATGTATATTTCGCTATACATATACAAAAGAAAGCTATTGTATAATTTGTTCTGTTTCGGTACCCATATACTAAAGATCAATTATATAATCTGTGTTTGTATAAAGCGAGAAAGAGAGAAAGACAAAA